CTATGTTACGTTCGACCAATCAGATATAAGAAACCGCAACGAAAAAAGATTGCGCTCGTCCATTACTAAATAGGGGTAATAAAAAGGAAGAAGGGGAGATGAAACCAAAAAAATCTTTAAAATGATCATTTTACTACTGTGAAATATCAAAAAATTAAAAAATTGTAGTTTTATGTGAACAATAAAACATATATCTTTGTATGGTAAAACAATTTAAATTATTTACCATTTGGTGATGCAGTGGCTTTCGTCCACTACCACTGCACACAAGTTCTGCTGCCATTTTGGGCTCATCAACACGTCGTTGCCTCTTTTCCCCAAAACACTTTCCGGGCTCATGTAAACGATGGAAATACATCCATTTATCAGGTCGTGCTCTTCGGCTGAACTTCGGAGATACATCATTCAAATACACGGCAGAAATACCAAGGCTCTGAAGCTGCGTCACCTGCGATCTCATCAATGCAATCAATGGTGAAATTACCAAGCAGATCGACGTTGTTTTGGTAGTGCCAGTAGTGCCACTAGTGGTACCGGTAGTTTTTACGGCGGTACTTTCGTTCTGCCAACGGCAACGACTCGAGTCATCATGATCATAGAATCCGTGGTCGCGTAGAAAATCACAGCACAAGGGGATTGCTTGGTATATTGCACTCTTTCCAAAACCAGTAGGTAATGCAACAAAAATATCCCTGCCGGCTTCAATAACGCTACGAATAGCGGATTCCTGCAGTTCTCTGAATTTTCCATTAGGAATGCCTAGTTTGTTGGCCGCATATGATAAACTTTCTCGCAGAAGATCGTCGTCGCATGAACTACCCGCCATCTTGGATGAAGAAAATGACGTAATGTCACGTGATTTATAATATGCATATGCATAGACTCTTCTCCATACGTGTTTCTGATTGGTTGAGTTCATTTCGTATTCATGAGGTTTTTTCGTACGAAAAACTGCCACGGATTCATGGTCGATAATAAAAAAAACGACGACTAAAGCTAGACCAGTGATTATAGGCGGTGAGCCGCCTCGCCGTATCAGACGTTCTTCTTAGGGTTAGTCTAGCAGCAAAGAAAAAAGCTCGGCACTCCGCCTAGATTATAGGCTAGGTAAGAAGTGACAATAATTATCTAGTAAAAGACGATATCTAGGAGAGGTGTAAAATGTGTGTGTTCACTAGCGCGCCATCTCCTTGTGCGAATGTCTTAGATGATCTTTTACATTTGGTGGGACTTCTACGTAGCTGGAATTGAAGTACGGAAATCTGGATGTCACACACTTCCTTTCGATGTAATAATACTTTGTTGCTTCACAACTCGATGCCCTTTTATTCGCCCAGTTTCCATCAACTGGATAACTCCATTTTTCCTTGTGTGCCAACATTGAGTGATGACAAATATCTGCTTTGCGAGATTTGCAACTTTTTGCCTCTTTAGGCAAACAAAGTTACTGTCATCATGGAATATTTCTGTATAGATTCCATCTTTATTAGAGCTTGAGGCTGTCTCTACATTGTTTTCCCCTTATACTGCATGGTCTGGAGCTGTTATTGTTTCTGCCATATGACATGGACTGGAATGTCACGGAAATGTTTACCGCTACCGAGGCCTACCAAGCGCTCCGATGGTCTGTAGCTGTTATTGTTTCTGCCACCTTTCTTTCCTGCAGTTACTTTGTTAAAGTTTCCTTCTGTTAGTGGAGTGTGTAAACCCTTTCTACCCATCTTCTTGATAAAAGATAGATGGGTTTGAAGTACTGAAACCTTTGCAGCCACTGCCAATGAGTGCTTGCACAGTTTATCATGTCTGTATCTACCACATGCACAAGAATAGAAACATGTTCTTTATGGAGGAAAACATCAACCACGCTGTTCTTTGAATGATTACTAGCTACTTCGAACTTGGCTGATCCATTGCTTTAGAAAAGCTTTCTCCTGAATAGCGCGAGGGTGTTTTAGCAAGGAAGCTACTTCTGCTTCTAGCAAATTAGCATATTCAGCAGTGTAACCAAAATACTGCTCCAGTTCTTTGGCAATGTCGACACCAATCTCTTTGAATTCTGGTGCATTCCTGTATTTTGGCCACGGTTCTTCTTTACAACAGAAAATATCTTCAATAGATAGCTTGTGCACGTTCTGTAAGTACTGCTTCCTATCTTCCTGATGCCACTGATCATACCACACGTCTGGCGGAACCTGTAGGTTTGATGCAAAATCTGCAAGCTCGTATTCTTGGCTCAGTCCAGTGACTGAAACACACAGCTCTTCTATTTGATGCTGGTGTATGCTTTCAAATATGTGCTGTGTAAATTGCAGCTTATTCATCCTTGACACATGGGGATTTTCCTGTAAGAAGGCATCACGCTTGCATTTCATGATTTTTTCATACTCTCTGATGCATTTGTGTACGACCTTTCCTTGTCTTGCATTCCACCCTTTTTTCTCACTTCTACCATGTGCCCTGCAATCATGCCAAAGTTATTGTTCTTGTTGGAAAGAGTTTAATCGCTTCCTGAGGTCATCTTCGTCTTTGGCATCTAGAATGCCTTCAACTTTCTCTTTAACACCAAAAGTGGCATTAAGGAACATGTTTCTTGTGTATGTGGTATATATATATATACCACATACACATTTTTCAGCTGTTTTCAGCTGTTTCACCAAAATACTGCTCCAATTCTTTTGCGATGTCAACACGAATTCTGGTGCATTCCTGGAATTTGGCCATTATACTTCTTTGCAATGGAAAATATCTTCAATAGTTAGCTTGTGCATGTTCTGTATGTACTGTTTCCTATCTTCCTGATGCCACTCATATTGACGTTTCGACTTGATATTAAAAGTTTTCTGTTGACAATATCTACCCTGTCACTAAGCTGGTGAAACTCTACAGACATTACTTAATGAAAGCTCTCAAGGATATAGTGCTGGATGGGGTGATATCCTTGCTGCCTGCCTGGCTTGCCATCTCCTAGTTCGTATACGACTTTCTGGATGAAATCCCACACATTGCTCGCTTGCCATGGGTAGTCCAGCCACATCACATATATCGCTTTGAAGCACAGATCAATGCCTTCCAGAAGGGATTTGCTTGGGATGGCAACACCATTCACTATGACAAACACCATTCACTATGACAAACACCATTCACTATGACAAACACCATTCACTATGACAAACACCATTCACTATGACAAACACCATTCACGATGACAAACACGTCTTCAGGGCGAAGGGGATTCCCCAGGAAGGAGCATGAATGGTTGCTTCTGTTCATTGCTTTCGATGTAGTCAGGGATATTAGTCCCAACCTGCCAATTAAAGAAATAACATATTACCCAGCCCCTATAAACATTATTTCAATAACTTTGATATGCAGACCATTGGCAGGGATTGCACTCTTTTCCACTACAGCAAACGCCTGTTCTGGACTTTGGGTTTCGCCCAGCACCAGGATGGAGGGCTGAGTCTGATTCTTCGTTTCTAGGTACTCTGGAATGTTTGTACCAATCTGTGGAAGATGAAATATGGACATAACAAATAAGAATAGAATAATAAAGTCAGTAGAAATGCTTGAAGTTCCTAATTATTAAGATTTGCCATGCTTGGATATCTAACAAGTTTCAACTAAAATGTACCATGCCCTCCAAAATTACTTAACTAGAATCACAGCATCATTGACTTTTGCTGACACTTTCCAAGGTTAGCATGAACAATGACTGCCCAATTCTCTCGAGTCTCAATTATTTTAACAAAAATCTATAATAAATCTGAGTGAATTTTGTACATGTCAATGGTGCTTGCAGTGCATGGGGGATATTCGTCTGTGTTACTGAGATCTAACTTAGACTATTCCCGGTCCTAGACCTAGATCTAATGACCATTACCTGCCTTGCCGGGCTGGCCTTGCCCTTGGCCTTGCTGTGACTTGTGTTGGTCTACAGACTACACTGCCACGGCACTGGCTTGTACACTGTTAAAAAAATTCTCCATAAAAATACAGAAAAGTGCCTGCAGCAGAGTCTCGAGAACTCCTGTAATTTTACAGAACTTTGTTATCACAATTCACAAGTCATCAGTTTTTTAACAGCAAATATGGAGGTGATAAATACAAATTTTCTGTTTTTTATATATATATTTTTCCAGAACTCTAGAGAACTCCAGTTTTTTTTACACCATATTTGTAACCATAATTTAAAGCTGATCTGTTTAATAACATACAATCTGTAAGTGATTATAACATTTCATTTTTGTAAAAAAAAAAGACAGAAAAGTGTCTGATTCAGGGTTTACAGGAATCCTTTAGCTTTGCCACATTTTTCTTTTCACAATTTACAATTCATCTGTTTTTTAGCCGCAAATCTGCATATGATAAATGAAATTTATTCTTAAAAAAACAGAAAGATAACTTGCCGAACTACAAGGAACTCCTGTAATTTTGCAGCAGATCTACTATCAAAATTTACAGCTCATCTTTTTAATAACAAGCCATCTGTGATACATGAAATTTATCTTTAAAATAAAGACAGAGGAGTGCCTGAATCAAGGTTTACAGGAGTGCTTTAATTTGACTACATATTTCTCTTCAAAATCTACAGTCCATCTGTTTTGAAACAGAAAATCGGCATGTAAAAAAAAAATGAATAAAAAATAAACAAAAATAAAAAATAGAAAAATTATAACGGAATGAAAAAATAATAAAAAGGGCAGGGTGCTTGCAGAAGTCTCGAGAAATTCTGTAATTTTATAGCATGATTCATAATTTACAGCCAATCTGTTTTATAACATTTGTGTGTAATAAATGAAATTTCTCATGAAATTATTTAAATTATATCCTATAGAAATCCTACAAACATGTTCATGAAAAATCTGTAAGACCTTAATGCTAGAGTGTGTATGTACAAGTTACCATCAAAACACACACTAAAAAAATAAATCTTGTGACTGCTGCAGGCACCTGCTTTAATTTTACAGATACACAAGTCAGTCAAACAAACAACTGCAACATTTTGTAGTTTTTCAAGGGTTTATTTATCATTACCAATTACAAACATGTAAATACTGATCTGCAAGGAGCTTAATCAACAGTAAAACAATAAAAGCAAACTTCAGTAAGTAGCAAATATATCAAATGTAACAAAAACTATATGGCCTAACAAACAACTGCAACATTTTGTAGTTTTAAAAGGGTTCATTTATCATTACCAATTACAAACATGTAAATACTGATCTGCAAGGAGCTTAATCAACAAGAAAACAATAAAAGCAAACTTCAGTGAGTAACAAAGATATAAAATGTAACAAAAAACTATATAGCCTACGGGGTGCCCCCCCCCCCCCCCCCCGATGATATGAAATCGTAAAGAGTCATGTTTAACCGAGGTATATCATTTATTGCTAATTCATGATCGACATGCCACCACTTCTGGCGCAGGTGAAATTTTATTTCCTCTCTCTCTCAAAAAAAAAAGGGCCTCCTGTATAGACAAGCATGACATTCATGCTATAAACCTGATAAAATTTATACCAAATAAAAGAGGAAGATACTCTTTTAGGACATACCACAGTCTTTGAAGAATAACATACATTAGAGATTATATAGATTTTTGAAAGTGGACTTTTTTTTTCTGACTCACCCTGTATAGATGCCTAAAGAAAAGGGCACCTGCATTCTTCATTCCTTTACAAAGATTATTTTGGCTCAAACCAATAATGAAAACCTTTAAAATCTGGAGGCATAGAACCTACTGCAACACATGACTTGTATGTGATTGGCATATTTAAACACATACAAAACATAATTTAACACATTTCTAAAAAAATAAATGATTGGCATGATCAGATATCATATTGCAAATAGTGTGAAGTGCAGAAAAATACAAATCACAGTCCAAGGATCATAACATGTCGCTCTTCTGGTTGGGTAGAAGAGAAGCCTTCCAATCAACCATCTAAACCAAATTCTAACGGGATCCCTAAGACCACTTTGAGGTGCTCTTTCAGATGTGCTATAACAATGCTAAAACTGTGCCGGGGGGGGGGGGGGGGGGGGGGGTCTATTTCAAACATGTCCATTGTAACATAGAAAATGTAAACAAAATGCACACTAAATCTAACCTGATGATATTTTGATGCAATTCTGCTCGATTTGAGGGTCACACACTCAATGGTCGGAATTCACAAAGGAAGTTTAAGTTTAGACCATGGTTTATGCAGATTTTGTGTATGATTAGCTGACAAAGATCCAGTATAAATGCACGCTTTTGGCAAAGTACTAGAAATTCATGATTTTTGCCATGGTTTAAAGCTATGGTTTAAAATCATAGCAACAAGCATGAATTGAGCGCCCTTTGCCATACAGCGTGCCTTCATATTGGACCTTTCTCAGCATACACACTAAATTAAGCGCAAATTATACACAAAATCTACATAGACCATGATTTAACCCCCCACAGAGTTTAAAGGAGAATGAAAGTCAGACATTTACATGATTTCAGTGAATGGAGAATACCAATGAGACTTAACAGTAAAAGTTTGAGCAAATTTGGATAATCCTTTTTTGGGTTATGGATTTTTGAAGTTTAAAAAAATCCTTATTATGGACTTCCTTAAGTTGGCAATTCCGCTAGAATTTGTGATGTCATTGTGCTCAACTCTCCATTGGTTATGTACAGAGAGTTTCACAACATTTTATTTTTATAAAATATTAAAAGGGCAATTGTATTGATTCTTTCAGACATACTGCAGAATTGATGTAGCCATGTCATACAAAAACAAAATACACTGGCGGAAATATTATTTTTGATGAAAATTAGAAAAAAGTGAAACTCTCTGTACATAACCAATGGAGAGTTGAGCACAATGACATCACAAATTCTGGCGAAGTTGCCAACTTAAGGAAGTCCATAATAAGGATTTTCTAAAACTTCAAAAATACATAACTCGAAAACGGATTATCCAAATTTGCTCAAACTTTTACTGTTAAGTCTTGTTGTTCTTCTCCATTCACTGAAATCATGTGACTGTCTAACTTTTATTCTCCTTTAAGCCTCCTTTGTGAGTTCGGGCCAAGAATATCAAATTAATATGGCCATCAGTTCTCATGATTGAAGATGGCATAATGTACATTATTTTCCTAAACAGCATACAAATGTCTATTTTTGTTCTCAAAATACCCACTTGCCTCAATGAAAAATATGTACATGTTTCCAATAAAAGATGAAGATGATGTACATAGCATAGCTGCCAACCTTTGAAAACACAAATTAGTACATACTCAGCACCTCAAAAATTTGTATTTTTCAACCGATCCTCTTCTCAACTATTTCAAAATGTAATATTGTTGTATCGCAGTATCGCAGACCCCTGGGTAGCAAAACAAATTTCCTTGCAAGTCACATGCAAGCCTAATGTGACAGGGCCTTAAGGAAATGTTGCTCTTACCAATGGTATTAATAAGTTGATCTGTGTGCTATCAGAAGTGTGTCAGGCATTGTTCATGGGACACCCTGTATATAAAGTTGACCAGGGTAAACACCAACATGGTATAATGTTTGCATACTGTAGCATATATCATCAAGAAAACACTATAAACAACCTTCAAAAGAACAAATATACAAATTATATAGGTATAACATTATAAATAGGACCTGCTGAGGTTTTCTTACATTACCAACAAAATCTAAAAAACTCACTTTGTTCCTTGGCAAGGACTATCTTGGCTCTTTCCAAAAATCAAAGCCTTTCACATCTGGATGCATACATCCTATACTATACTAATACTTATATATATTTTATTTGCATTATGTTGGGGATGTTGAGAAAAGGCTTTCAAGATGAGGCACAAATAATAGAAATTTACAGGTTTCTTACATCACATTGTCTCATCCATGTATTCGTCACAATAAAAATCGTGCATAATAAAGCACATCTCAAAACAAATTGACAGAAGCATAAAAAATGAGAGCTGGATGTCTGCTACTCTGTTTTCCAGTCAGATTCGAACTCTACGATTCCACGAAGGAGGGCAATTATCTTTGGAGACACGGCCGATTTCTTCTTCTTCTTTCCTCCACTCTTTACTGGACCCCCAGGACTGATGCCAATGAGTTCCCTGAAAATACATACAAACAGAGATGTTATCTTGCAAATTAATATTCATACTTCTAACTACGCTTAACTTCTCGAAATTTGAATATTGAAACGAAAGAAAATATGTCGACTTGGAAAATAATGACTTAAACAACTTGTCAAAAGTCTGTACCTTGTCTTATAGCAGGAATCCTGCTATAAATGCATCTTTTTATAGTGGCTTTCCCACATTCCCCATCGTTTTGACTATGATAAAATATGAGGATTGGCAATAAAAAGCTGCTTGCGGGATTCCTGCAGGGGGGGGGGGTCTGTTTCTGCTTATGTTTGTTTTATTGGTTGGATATGGCTGAAAATGAAATGATGTGAGGAGCGATTTTGTTTCCAATTCCGTTATGGACTGATACTAAGCTAGCAACTTGCAATAATCTGTATGAAATCAAAACACAAGTAGTGCTCTAACCATAAGCTGGTGATTAAAACACCTCTTCTTGCCAAAACAAAAAAAACAAATACCACCTGAAATTTATTGAAACATTTTTTGTCCTTCAAACATGAATATACAGCATTGAAATGTACGAATAATGAACAAAGTAAACAAACAAACTAACAAACAAGCAAGAAAAAAATCACAAAAGCTTTTCATACCAGTTAAGAACTCGATGTGAACAATAGCCATTCATTTAGCAACTTTTCACTTCTGACTTTGATCTGTATTCAGTAGTACTGTGCATTCAAGCATAAAATAACCATTACAAATGAGGTATCAATGTAAAGGGGAATAAATGAACCTTCCATTGATATCAAATTCAATAATCATAGAAAAGGAGCAAAAAAGATATTAAGGCTCAAAATTGATCTGCAGGACTTTTTTTGAGGAGTTTAGATTAAAGATAGAAAGAGAACAGACAAGAGAAAAGAGAGAGAGGGAGAGATGAAGGACGGTAATATATCACAAGGATACCATGGTGGAGGTTATTGTCAATATTCCGTAGGTGGTTTTCTTCCAACTCATCAAGGACAATGGAATAATGCACCACCAAGGAGAGAAGGAGAGAGCATGAATTCCTCTTGCATAGAGAGGTACAGGCACCACCCCTCATGGAATGACTTGTGTTGCAGATATTTCACACAAAACGCCAAGAATGGTTGCATCTTCCAGGTCTTTTAGGTTGAAGTCATTATGTCATGCTGTCACTATGGTAACAGACAATAATGCAACATCGAGTGGTAACTGGGGAATGTTCAGCAATGATTCTATGATTAAGGACAACACCACTGTTCTTGCCATTCATCTTGCAGCCATCATGCCCTTTCAAACTAATGATTTTTCTGTTTGTTGTTGCAACCCAACAAAAGTTAGTTAAAATACCCACCTTTGGATGAACTCCATAGTGACTGATCCCTCTGGTGGGTACTCTAGGGAAAGAGCGTAGAAACAGCAGAACAGTGTGATCACTGCTTCCCGGAATGTGGCTATTCCATCATTGACGACAGATCCTTCTATTACAAGATAATAGATGTTTCGCCCTTTGAAGATGTCTTCCCTTGATCCTGAAATATAAGGTGAGAAGTGTGATAAGGACACGTTCACGTAAAAGTGGACAGGAGGATCCAAAAAATAAGGTAGATTGATATGAAACAAATTTGGCATGATATTAAAGCCAAGACTAAATATTTTCCTGATATGAAATTTAAAAAATTTCACTTTTGCCCCCCCCCCCCCCAAAAAAAAAAAAACAACCAACAAAACTATGATTATGTAGTCATTATTTATTTTAAGCTTGAACTAGAGAGACAAACGTAACAAACTCAACCCATCTTTGTCATAAAAAGTAAATCGATTTGATTCTAATGATACATAAATTATGCTGTTAGAAGTTTTCAGTAACACATTTTTCTCAGTAAAGATTTTTGTTTCGCTTCAGTGACTTCATACATTTTGCAATGTACAATTAAACAATATACGATTCTTTTCACTTCCATCAATTAAAATCAATTAATTTTATGTTGTTTATGATCGAAATAGTGTTGCCAATGATTTAAATTTACAGATAAGTACAAAAAAAACACAACAAAAACAGTAAAATAAATAAGAAATGAAATATAGTACCAGAATTGTTTTAATGTACATTTGATGAGAAATCCTAAAAAGATGGTCAGTAGCAAAAGTTAGATAGTTCATGATCTTTATTTTAGATTTACAGCCATTTAAAATAAATTATGTATGAATTAGTATAAATTAAAATAAATTGTAATTAACTTTTGACAATAAACTATACAATTTTGAAGATTACATTCTGGGTAGGGTGTGTGCCAATTGCTGTTGCGATCGTGCATTCAACAGCCAAAACCTTTAAGGGGGCCCTTTTGGCACAGCCCCCCCCCCCCTATCTCGAGGGTTACAATCTGTCCTTTCATTACCATCATTCAGTAATAGGAGTTCCCTTTAAAACCTTGGCCATTAGTTGTGGAATCACACCGAAAGCCGACATGCTCATAACCCTCTTACAGTCAAATTCAAAAACAAATAGTAATTACTTTAAATAGGCAAATTTATGCATACAATAATTTTTGCCTATAATTTTCTTAATAAAGCTCACTGGATGCTGAAATGTAGTGTAACCTATGTCCAGCATTTGTTAGGACAGGGTTATTATCAGAGAAAGAACTCAACAAAAAGAAGACCTCTGTACTATACAGATTGCATGCACAACCAAAAACATGAAAAACTCACCAATTATGGCAATGAATGGACTCTGAGGCTTGTCCTTGTCACCATCAATCTTCTGCTTGTTACCATCAACCTGAAATAATAAAATTTAGATGTTTAGCAAAATAACAGATGCTTGGAGGGGTAGGCATAAGGCACCTACAAACCTTTATATAATATTGACTGCCGGGCCTTGAGGGGGATAACACATACTGTATCAGCCGTTATTTTCGCGAGGGTTTTATTTTCGCGAATTTCGCGAGTCGCCTTTGAACCGCGAAAATAACAATACGTGTGTTGTTAATTTCACAAGCCTTCGCAAGCGCGAAATTAACAACGCGAAAATGTCTGATGAGTATAGCGATTCGCGAAAATATCTGTAAGCAAAAATATAGGCTTATAGTTATACAGTATATTGCCCAAAGAAGACACATATTGTCCCAAGCGAAGACGAGGGCAATATGGGTCTTGTGAGGGCAATATATGTGGTATCTCCCGAAATAATAGCCCGTCAATATTTCTATTATTATCCAAATCAGACATCTAGAGCAAATACATGGCAATCTCTTTCACCTTGTGTCTGATTCATAGTATTTAGGCAAGTAACGTTTGTCAATACAAACGTTACTTGCCTAAATACTATGAATATGGAGAAATTTCCAGATTGCTTTTCACCACCAAGCTAACATGGTTGCATTGCAATATTTAAATACAAATTGACTGCTCATTGTTTGGTATGTGTCTAAGTGGGGGAAAAGCCCTGAATAATTACAATTAATATAATCACTGCTGCTTTACACAAAATGGCGTGCAACATTTGCATCAAGACAGTACGACTTGTGTATTATTTTGACTAGCTATTGTGACGTATTGTGACAAGTTGTGGGTAAAAATCAATTGTGACGTATATTTTTTTACGCGTATCCATTGTCTAATAGGCGTGCTGCGCTGCATGTTACGCGCAGAAATGCCCGGATGTGAGACCGAGGAAAATACAAAGGTTTATTTTCACTCGTCTCCACACGCAAACTATATACGAGCAGAGAGACCAAGGAAATTACAAAGAATACTACACTTATCCAGTTCCATTACAAACAAAATTTGGGCAATACGGTTTTGTAAATGACTGGCTCAGATGTCTGATACAGGTAATAATAGGTAATATCCCATGCAATTTGAATATTGTTAATGGCCGAGGAGGAGTCAATAGCTCTCAATGGATAAAGCCTATAAACCGCATACTCAAATAGTAGGTAAAGGACAAGCGTGTCTTTCAGTGGGGAGCATGATATGCCCAGTACTCCAGTCACTATGCCACAAATATCAGAGAAGAATCAATTAACTTTGTCGCAGTAGAGGAAGGAGGGGGGGGGGGGTGTTCATGGAAATTATTTCAATTATGCATTCTAAAGCAATTCCTAAAATTACTCTTTGTTTTGTGCATTTGGTTAGTGGGAGAGGGGTCTAAAACTGGCTACACTGGATGGCCCAGAAAGAAAATAATGCCTCCGGCCCAACCTTTGGTGGGCGGAGGCATAAAAACCACTAAAATCCTTGATATTAGGGCAATAAATGGTATTAGGGGAGAATTATTGAATGCATTCAAACATTTATTTTCCAATAATATGACACTGAGATCATCCATTTTTGCCCATGCCTTCATTAGTTATGGTTCGTTCCGTAATAAGGAAATGTAATTTTCAAAATTTGCCCTACTTCTGTTAACTTTTTAAAGAATAGGTCTAAATCGGTGATCTTGGTGTCATATAATAAATCAAGAATTTTCTTTTGAATGAATCTACTAATTATTTCTTAATATCATTTATCGCCCTGATATTAAGGATTATTATAGTGGTTCTATTCTTTTGGGGCCACTACATACCCCATAGAATCGGAATAGCTGATCTTCTTTGTCTTCAAAGTAGTTCACGAGCAACAAGAAAACACCTTGTAGTTGCGGCTCTGTTGACTTTGAGTCTTCCACCTCAGCCTTGATTATGCTCATCCAGCGTTTCAGATCCTCACTTTTTTTCTTTCTTGACCCTGATAATATGTAGTCATAGATGCGACTCCCCTTGTTTCTAGCTATTAGTGACTCCTCAAAGGCAGACTCAGGGTTCACTTCTGTAAGCATGTAGAAATGTTCTGAGAGACATTTGTAGTTGAACAGAAAGGGCCACTGCTTACCGAGTTCAATAATGGGCATACCACTGGAAACATCTCTCCGCTGAAGATAGTAGGTATTACTCATTCGGTGTTTCACTTCCTCAGCATCACAGTCCTGCTGTTTCAGATTCTGTAGCTCTTTTTTCATCTCCATCTGTGATTTGAGATCGTCTTCGTTTGGAGCATTTGGTAACCACATGCCCTGTTTGCAGCCATACACATCAAAGTCAGCAGCAGCATCCTCTGTGCTTTCATTTGGCGTTGACTGCAGCACTTCAGCTTTGCGTTTGCGAATCTTATGAGTCTCATTGTAGATGCGATTCTCTAATCCAGAGAAGAGAGACTGGTATCCACTGCCCAGTTTGGTTCCTCCAATACCCCTGTCTTCGAAGGAGGAAGGGTATCTGTTACAAATGTCTTCGGCAGCTTTGCGAATGGCTGCACGTTTGGTAACACCTACTGCCATCATTTCATCACTTACAATTCGCTTAACTTCACGTGTTTCAGCTGCATTAAGACTCTGCCCACTAGTACACTTTCTTGTGACAGTGCGTGGAAATCTATGCCATGGGATGGTGAAAACAGATTTGATGCGATCCGGCTCAGGAGTAGAGCACCCACTGGAATCTTCAAAATCCGTCTCAGGAATGGTAGTTATTGAAGACATGGAACTATCCAACAGGGATGTTTCATGACGATCTCTGCTGTCAGAGGTAGTTCGCAATCCTGAAAAAAAAAGTGTTCAACTAACATGAAGATTTCAGAATACATGTACATTGTAGGGCTGCATGCTATGAGTTCACATATTTTCCTTCAGCTTAGGCTCACATACAGGGATGCCACTGGGTCACCTCCAAAATCTTATATCTTATCGCAGTCCGGGGGCAGTGTCCCAAGACAGTGTCCCAGGATGGGGATGGGAGCGTAGCAATATACTAATGCAGCTCCAGTCTATGTTTTGATATGTATTAACCCTAACAAGGCCGGGGTATTTTGGAAGATCATATGGCCGGGGGGGGGGGGGGGGTCTCGCAGACAATCCCTTGAGATCTCAGCCGTCGACCGATCTCAGCAGTCGACTGATTTTTTGTAGGAATATTGTACAAGTCAAAGTCTTACAAGTCACAAATTTCTAGGACCTGTCTCATACAGTTTTGGAGATATAAGGCTCTAAATATGCATCAAACATTTATAAAATGAAATTTGACACAATGTTCGGTGACCTTGTGCGCAGAAACGAAAGGTCTGTTTTGCGCCGCAATAAATTTTTCTCTTAGAGGGAATAAAGTTCTTCCCATTTCCAGATAATGAAGTTTACTGGATCAAAATTCTAGCTAACCATTAGACCTTGAGGCAAGATATTTCGGGATTTTCCGTCTGACACTTCGAGGAACATTTGGTGCAAGTTTAAAGAAAATTGAAGGGGGTCGGGTTAAAACCATTGGTTGATTTGATATGAATTGACCCATATACAAAATAATGCGTATCTTCGGAACCGTGTACCCTGGCGTCACAAATTTGGATGCGGGAGACTCAAAGGAAAAACATCACGGCAAAGCTTTTTGCGGGCCTCTGAGACCCCCCCCCCCCCCCCCCCCCCCAGCCTAGTTAGGGTTAAATGGGCATTTTGAGCTTAATTGAATCTGAACTACATAACATGTTCTGGTGCTGGGTGATGCACTTATAACCAGTTTCAAGTAGAATTGGAAATAAAGAAAAAGATGTGAAATTCATTCATAGATATAAAACTTCCAAGTACATCTGTACATCTGTACATCTGTACATAATTATGGTAAGTATAACAACTGATTTCTACAACATGACACTCACTAATCACTGTCACTTTTTAAAAGCAAATCAGTTTTAGATCTTAAAATTGGAGCTGTAAATGGGTAATATACTTTAAGATACATCTCAAATACTATGACACTATGCAGCAAGCAAGCAAGCAGAAGCCTTTTGAATAGAAAGGGAAGTTTTAACCCACTGCAAAAGCAGCAGGAACCATACAGTATGTGGTGGACAGGCAGGGGCAATATCTCCCCCAGAAATTCCCCATTCGACATATTTACTGATAACAAGACCAAAGGAATTATGTACTGCAATACTTACTTTCAGAAATCGCAGCCAAAAGTTTCCTCCTCCGTAACGGTTTTAAGAAGAGCAGATCCTCCTCTGTAACATGCTGCAGATCTTCAATTCCATCACATCCAAGTTTGTCCAATTCAATCCTTATCTCTGTAACAGCAGAGTCCAAGGCAGGAAAAACCTGGGATAGGAAATGTGTTAACTCTGTCTCCTCTTCTTTGTCCATTGTGCTTTCTGAAATAACAGACATAAGGCATATCATTGTTGGGATTAAAGTGTATCCCGCTACATTTGAAGGCTATATCAACATTTGCAAAAGAATGTCTTAGAAGCAAAATCAATGCAATTAAATGAAGAGGGTTTTCTCTATTCATACTTTATAACAATCTGAAGTATGTCAAGCCACTTTCATAATATACCTTTTCCCTCAAGGAACTAAGCAAATACCTGCCAAATGGTTATATGGGCAATTCCACAGTTAGGTGGACAAATAACCAAAGTTGAATTTGATTGTATTTCAATTCCTGCTACATTTTCCAAGATAAATAATTCAGGAGTCATAAATAAAAAAGGAATGACTTTTATTTCCCACCTTTCTTTCATTCTCAAATGTCTCCATCTGTGATAACCAGAACTGTACACAAATTGGTGATGTAGGACTACATATGCTGAAATTGTACTTTCAAATCATTTTAAAGAAAACAGTGATTTATTTACAACTGTTTTCATTGGATAACGTGAAGGAATGTTCAATACACAAATCCAAGGCATTGTTTTTCCAACTTAGATTTATTAAATTATCATGGGCAAATAAAGTGTCATGGACAAATGTAATGTTACTAACGGTAACGTTACTAACGCAGCTTTTGATGTAGCAGTTAAAAGTAAAAATATTTCTTTCAATAAATTATATTTCATACAACTTTCCAACATATCAGCAATGATATAATAATCAAACTTAGTCACAGATGAATCCAATTGACCAGGAATTTTGGGACAAAGTCTTGTAATCATTTTCCATGTCCTTTTTTGTAACGTTCATGTACTAACGGAAATTCAAGGTCATGTTGTTAGTCACTGAAACGTGATACATGATTTAGAAAGATGAGATAAAGAAGGTACTAAAATGAGGAGAAAATATTCATGTATCTTCATGTAGCAGTCAAATATATTGCAAAAAGTACCATAAAATGTAACTGTGAATTGCCCATTATAGTCATAATTCCAAGTTCCAACCACTGCAATTCATCAAGTTTAAACAGGTAGATATTTTGCTACAATGAGTTTGACAAAGAGTTACATGTAAGCACACAACATGAACTCTTTGAAAAAATGGCCTTATCACTGAAAATGTATTCATCTTGAATTAAATTAATGAGATGGTAGAGTCATCATAAGATTTAAAATAAGACCACAGGGTCCACAGTTAACAGTCCATCTGTGCATCTAGTAGAAAATCCATGGTTCAATAAAGTGCAATTGATTGTCTGCCTACAAACCTAATAACCTAAATTCACAGAAGAGGCAAAAACAAAAATTGATTTCCAAGATAATGTTCCATATTTTCTCACTAACAAAACTTACTTTTATGACATACATATGTGTGCACAGTGCATGCATGGAATTTAACTTGTTGATATGACCTGCGGATCCAGTAGGAAAATAAAACTCAAACGTTTGCGTATCCAGTTCACTTGTGCTCAAGGAAGCAGCAGGGCATAAGTGTTTTGTCCTCCAAATGTTTGAGGGCACAATTTATATATATATATACATGTATATATATATATATATTTCTCATTTTGTGACATAAACTTATTAATTAATCAAGGGTTCGAGTACAGGGTCCCGTTCCATAAAGACTTGTTATAATAACAAATGCACAAGTTTAATATCAGCTAATCAAACCGAATGATTTCAGTAGCTTTAAACTAAATTATTGCAAATTTGTTATTATAACAAGTTTTATGAAACTGGCCCCAGAACTTTTCAAACTCTCACAAGATAGTTACTACAAGCGTGAACTTAATTTCAGCCACATTTACCTCACACACAGATGGAGTGCTTCAGGGCAATGCAATTTCTGCGATGAACAGTATAGGCGTGGAGTGGCTGGGTGTCTAAAAGTTGCTGTCTGTCAAGACATCTCAAATTACATTCCAGTGCTTCCTGATTGGATGCTTCAAGTAACTCGTACAATCCAAGTGCAGGGTTGTAAGAGCTTCTTATGACCGAGACAAGAAAATGGCATGTACCAGAATTATCACTGCCCAATATGAATGATTGAATGAGACCAAAGCTCAGATGGAACCTATCCACAACAGTCTGATTAATGATGATATATTCCCCTTTCATGTAATGTATGCCATCAATATCAACAGAGTCAGAGATGTGAACATCACCACCAGAATGCATCCCACATTTATCTACAGCAGATTTCACAGAAGTGGCATACAAATTTGAATGAAATGGAACAGATCTTTCAGCTGAAATGCCAACACTGAAGTACTGGCCATGTCTACAAAAAGCTTGCAAAAGCTGATGCTTTTCAGCTAGGGATTTTGTAATGTTGATAAAATTGGCACAATGACGAGCATGAGATTTGAAGTAAGAATGCTTACTTTCAAATCTCATGGTCCATGATCTCATCAATGGACCACACTTTAGGATAAGCTCCGGATAGTGTCGGAGAAAGTGGTGTTTTGGTCTTAGTTTGATCAAAGGAAATGCTTCTCTTCTGTCTATCAAGTACTCATCAATCAAAACCCTAAGAGTCAAGACTTGCCCATGTGAGATTCTTTGGGAGCAAACAAACTGAACTATCTCTCTGAGACGCAGAATCAGTTGCCAGGACTGATCCTCTGGATCCTGAATAACAGCGTGTAGAAAAAAGGGAAGAGTTCTCAGAAGGCACCAGTTCTGGACAGCATGGCCAGATATTTTTTCACCTGAGCTACTTATTTCTGGTGGTTTATCATTTGCATCAAAACCTTTCAAATGAGCATTTTTCATGGTCCTATTCAGATATTCGTATGAGAACCATTTTTTCTTTACAAGGTCCTTAATGTACAGTGCCAAATCATATCGAACAATGCCTTCAAACAGGTCATGCCCTAAGCAAGGAGGCAAGCCTGGACTACATACATGAAAATATCTCAGTCTATTGAAGATAGAATTGCTGACAATTCCCTTGAATGGTTTTTCATGTTTTTCAAGATGGGTTTCAAGATGGGCGATAGCTTCCTCATAGTTGTCAACTGTTCTAAGTTCTGCATTAGTGAGAGGATTTTCTCGGAAGTCGGCATGTGTGATTAGACAAAATCGGCAAATGAAAGGATGCGATGAGAAGTTTTGACAAAAACCCCCAATACAATGGCTACCCAAATTATCCCCAAGGATAAAAAGAACAGAAGTGGGTACATTTTTGCATCCAATTTTGACTCCATTTTGCTCTAATTCCTGCAAATCGGACACCAGCCTCAGAAAAACCACGTCCATACCGAAGTATTTGAAGTCTTTCTCTTTACAGAGAAGGACCAACTGCATTGCTTCAATTTTAGTCCGATTCTGGGGGAGTAAATTCCCAAAAGTTGCATAGACCGCCAAAATTTTGTGCTTATTTTTTGCTGATCCTAACGGATTCACGACCTCGAATGCATCTTGATAAAGGATAATAGGCACAGCCTCAGGATCTTTTCCAAACAGTTCGTGTTCTTTGAAAATCTCACCACAATGAAAATCTTCATAAATTTCACTGGGAGCATTCTGTTTCATTTTGTATTGCTTCTCTACTGATGGATCTTGAAAGAAGGACTCGACTGTCTCACGAATGGGGACATACTGATAATGCCTTTCTGAATTTTTCCCATCTCTACCTAGACGTACTGATACTGGTGAAATATAATTTAGATGTTTAGTATAGAATTTCTTTCTACAGTAATTTGACCTTAAAGGACCACTTTGACTGTTGTTAACTAAGTGAAAAAGATCACTGCTGAAAACTTCATTTAGTATAATAGGGATTCGGTCAAGAGCTATCCCCTCTTCTTCAAGATGTTTTTTCAATTGCAGCTGCAACTGCTCTTGGCTAACATCATGGAAATTACAAACACCAGTAATGATTTTCTGTAAAGTGGACTGGGGTATATGCTGCTTAGATTCAAGCCCTAAATAAAACAAAGCTACACTTTCAAGAAACATATCAGAAGACAAACTTTCATCAGAAGGTTCATCTTCCTCAACTTCAGGAAGTTGCTGCTGCATTTCAATGTCCTCAGTGTCTTTGTTGCAGTCATTTGATGTGCCACCCAATGAAGGAGGCAGAACAGAAGAATCCATTCCAGTGGCTGAAATGGGTATCACTGGTTTGCATTTTAAAGTTGGATGAATTCTGTACAGATGAGAAGTCAAGGAAGATACAACCCTATACTCAGAAGTGCAATCGTTAAAAGGACAGGTAACAACATCTCCATTTCTGATGTGCTCCTTGAGGTGGGATAGCAACATATTGTACTCCTTACAAGGCATCTTACACCGAGTGCAAGTTAAATCCAACAATTCATCTTCCAAGCCAACTTCCTCAAGGTTACCAATGTCACCTTGGCTACTGCAAGGAGCTGAGGTTTCGTCAGTAGGGGCAGTTACACTGTCATCCAAACACGCCAAAAAATGCCAAACCGGAGCCTGGCCGCGATGTTACCAAGGGCAACTACGCTTTACCGGCAGACATGCCAAGCCCCAAACATTCCAAAACGAAGTGTGATCTTTTGGCGTGTTTTGGCGTGTTTTGGCGTGTTTGGCAAGTATAACCGCTCGCAGTTGTAACATCGCTATGTTAGGCACGTGACTTCCGGCACTTCCGGATTGTTACCCGCGCTCTTTTAAACCACGTTCTTCCCGTGTGATATTTATAGCATTTCCATCGTCGCGCGTGTTATCCGTTCATTCAGCTCCGTTAACTCATCCTTTATTCAATCTTCGTTATTCCCGTCTGGCCATATCTGTCTAGTAGTAGTATTTGAGTGTTTTGTTAGATTAATTAATATGGAAGTGAACAATTCCCATTGGACTGATGATGAGATGAAGTTCTTGATTTCGATGTGGAGGCAGGGAGAGCTCCTCCACCAGACTTCCAAGCGTCCCTGCAAACGTGGGGAAAAGGGCTTCAGAGAAATGAGTGAAAGCATGAAATTAACAATTAACAACGATGATTTTCTTAACCTTCCCATATCGTTTTTACTACTAGATTTCGATTGAATTTGGGAAAACTGAATCAGCAGCCGTAGTCCGTACTTCGTAACTTATCCACTCTTGCCTCAAATACTACACGCGAGATAAACAAAACATATCGCATGCATGCGCATGGGATGTATCGCTATTTAGCTAGCTATAGCGCTAGCTGGAAATTGCGCGCGCTAAAAATCTTATAGCAGGCCGGGGTCAAAGGTCGGGAAGACTGCACATGCTCATTACCAACCGAAACACGCCAAAACATCGCTGAACAGCTCCGTCGGTGATGTTTCAGCACAAGTGTAACCGGGTGCACGAAACATCGCGACTTTTCAAAATGAGGTATTTGACAGTATAAATGCGCCTAGTGATACAAGAAACCCTATAGTTGACATGGTCTCTGGAGAGATGTGAAGTGAAGCTTTCATAAACCCTAAATTCTCTGGTACAACCAGGCACACCACAAGGAAAACTTGCATTATTAATGTACTTATGGATAGTATAATGTTGAGAATAATTTTTTGGTGAGTTTGATCTGTAATGGCAGTGATGACACTTGTACATACCTAGCAAGTCTGGCCACAACTTTTGATTTTAATTTTAGTAAAAGCATGAAGGGAGTCAAGGTCGCACATATACACATGTACCTGGAAGTGGAAGAAAAAAAATCCAATTACACAAGAAATGTTGTAAGGAATGAAGCATTATTTTTCCAAATGTAACTATAGGCCAAGTAAAAAAAACAAAAACAAGTAGAACGCCTCTGACAGTCTCACCTGCATTACGCAATTCAATATCTATAGCAGCAGTGCTGACTTTACAAACAACAAAAAATTAATGAATTTTTCAAAAAGCGAAGAAAAAAACCCTATTCATTTGATAATAAAATCCTGAGTTTGTTGACCTAGAATGACCTTTGACCTTTACCCAATGACATGAAATTACAATCATCCATTTGCCGATAACCAGTAAGTTTTATGGAATAGGGACTTAGATTGCAAAATAATCTTTAAAATTCAAAATGTTAACTTGGTTATGTTTTTTATATTGATACCACAACATGGTCAAAGTTTGTTGACCCTAAATGACCTTTGACCTTGATCATGTGACCTGAAACGCATGCACGATGATAGGTGATACTTGATTACTCTATGTCCAAGTTTCATGAACTAGGTCCATACACTTCCTATGTTATGATGACATTTCAAAAACTTAAACTTGGTTAAGATTTCAATGTTGACGACAACGCTGTCGCCGCCGCCATCAGAAAAGCGCCGCCTATAGTCTCGCTCTCCTGGCGAGACAAAAAGAGAGCGAGAGAAAAAAAAAGTAGTTTCGCGTCGACACCCACTTCGTTATTTTCCTGGTACATGATTGATTGATTTATTGAGGTTTAATGACACTACCAACACAATGTGTGTGTTATAATATAAAGTGTCTGAATATTGATCTATAAAGTTAATGTATGTTAAATGGTAGGATTTTATTTCTTAATATGATCTATGGATTGAATTACAAAAAAAATGGAGTAAATAAAAAATGTTAACTACTTCACTGGGAATTCTATCTCCATAAACCACATTCCATATTTAACCTTGACCTTTGATCTTGTGACTACAAAATCTAGTCAAATCATTCTCTCTCCCAAAAGTAAACATATGAGCAAAGTCTGAAGTTTATCAAACAAACTGCTCTCAAGTGATTCCAATAAAAGCCATTTTTATGTATTGTATTGAACTCTGTGACCTTGACCTTTGACCTTTTGACCCCAAAATCTATTCAGCTCATCATCACTCCAATATGCATACATGACCCAAGTTTGAACTGGATCCGTTGAATATTTTTTTTTCAGTTATCGCGAGAACAGAAACGGGAAGGACAGACAGACGACTCGAACACATACATACATGTACATGTATGTAATGCCTGAGCCGGCAACTACCTTCGGTGGGCGGAGGCATAAAAAATTACTTCCATGGATGTTTTAATCAAAACCATTACACAAAAGAAAGGAGGAAAAAAAGAAAGAAAATGGATGAATCTGCCACCAGAACAGGGCCCCATCTTATAAAGATTTGAGATTGATCTCAACTCATTTGAGATTGATAATATATCAATCGCAACTCCTATTGAATCCTTGATGCTGATTGGCTGTGGTTAGAGTTGTCATGGTAGTTGCGATTGATATCAATCTCAAATGAGTTGAGATCAATCTCAACTCTTTATAAGACAGGGCCCAGAAATGTATGGTCTGTCTCTGCTGATTATTTCCATTCTTGAGATCTAAAATAACACCCCTAAAATGAGACCTCCAAATCTGAATAGTTCATTGTCCCTCCTACATGTACATTGATACACTGGCCAAATTAGAAGCTGATCTGTAGATCAGTTCAGAAGTCTTATTGCCATTTTGTCCATTTTGTCCAATAACCAGTTGGTCCAAGTCCAATAGGCAATTTAGCCATTTATTCCATATGCAATTTGGTCTAATTAGACTAGCCGAAGTGTTAATTGGGCGAAATGAATAACAAGAAAATGGGTATTAGGCTTAGACCAACTGGTTACCAGACGAAATGGACACTTCGTCTTCACCAGTTAATACTCTGTGATTGATTGTATCTCTTCATGTAACAGGCCCCTGAGTATTAGACCAAATGACAATTAGGCCAAGTGGTTATTAGACTGATGATGATTTTTTTTTTGGGGGGGGGGGTTTAATGGCAACCAGTCAGGTTTAGACTATTTCGCTAACTATTTTCATATTTTTTTAACCTCCTCTTTGGATTTGCATGTATTCTGATATTTTTATATTTATTTATTTATAGATCTACATTAATTTAATGATTTCTATATATTTTGTTTTTCCTAATAAAACTTAAAAATCATACAAATTATTTTATTCCCTGTTTTGAGGGTTTAATGTTTTTTGTGGTTTTTATTTCGCTTTTTTTTTCCTCTTTATTTTTCTTCATATTTTCTTTTTCCTTTTAGTCTATTCCTCTTTCTTTTCTTTTACTTTTCCCGGAAGAAAGGTTTCTTAGTGTACTAATAATTTAATTCATTGGTTTTCATAACAAATGGGGGGGGGGGCGGTTGCTTTGGACAAAGGGTGAGGTTCAATTCGATGAAGCGTCTCGGTGATCAATCGAGATGAAACCGAAGCCAAAACCTTTGAGCGGTAGTGTAGACTACTTGAATCATTTGAAAATCAAACCCCCCGTTTTGTGGAGAATAATACATAAGCCTAGTAGTAGTATGGGGCATAGGTCCCTCACACCATTGCACACAAGATGGCTAGCCGTCTGTGTAGGGAAAAAACATATTTTCTTAAATTAATGTTCCAAAACTCTTCCAAACAGATGGATTTCATGTTAAAGTAAACTATAATTATTCTTTAAAATCATTTGGGGAGAACAGGTATGTTACCTTGTTTAATTTTAATAAACGGTAGGGTCTAACAAGTATATAGTGACGTATTGTACCTCCGGACGCTATCAATGATTCCGGACGCCCCGTGCACGCCACGTACTGCGCGCAGTGGAAGCGGAGATTGAATGAAATTTGAACAATACACATAAAAACATGTTTTTACACTAAAATTTACCAGTGAGAATACAAACTTTTCATAAAATAGTATGTTTTTGGCATTGCCGCGATGTGCGGAACCGCTTGTGTAAAAAAATTGGGTTTTAAGACTTTCAAAATGCTATATTTTACGTGGTTAGCGCAGCTGAGCTCGAGTTGCGGTTTGCATTGGGTTTGCACGCAAAATCCGACGTCCGGAATCATGATGTGATTTGAGCGACGTGAAAATAATTATTTTTTGAGAGGGGTCAATTCAAACATCTAAGTTCTAGTTTGTCGATTTGTATTTGAGTTATCAATTGCCCTTTTGAACGATTAATATTTATATTTTCAATTATGTGGAGTATTTTGTGAAATAAATAAGAGAGCCACAGTCTGAAGGCAGCCTGCCAACAATAGCCGTCCGGCAAAACGATGTAGAGTCAACTACCGTATAGAAATTTTGTTAAAACTCATGAAGTTACAACAATACGAGTGCTATGCATTGGAGTTTGGTGGCCGCCGAGTTGCAGTTGCACACATATATACTTACCGGTATGCGCCTGAGTAAAACGCAATTCAATTGCCACAACAACATTGGGTCATTGGGTGTCCGGACAGGTTAGTCCGAAGGCTTACAGACGGCTACATTCGGTTCCCTACGGTCCCTCTGTATCCCGTCTGAATCCCGTACATACCGGTATGTGTTGAAGTTCCCGACTGGATTTCAGACTTGTACTAATGAATGTGGAATGGAGACTTCCGGGTTCCCGTGAGCCGAGCCCCATTCATTAGTACAAGTCTGAAATCCAGTCGGGAGCTTCAACACATAGATCTACCGGGTATGTACGGGATTCAGACGGGATACAGAGGGACCGTATAGGTAACCGAAAGTAGCCGTCTGTAAGCCTTCGGACTAGGACAGGTTGGCCGTTGGGTATCCGGACAGAGGTTTTTTCAATGCTCATTTCATCAACAACATGAAATGCAATATTCTATAAATTTTTAGAAAATTATTGATGATAATAATTTAGAAAGGGCAAATATTCACAATATTTACCACTACTGTAAAAGTGGATATTTTCGCGCGATTAATTTTTCGCGCTCAGCCAACTCAGATGAATTTCGCGGGTTTTTAATTTCGCGAAGAGTCGGGGACCATTTCGTAAAATTACTCGTACAACGCCCATCTCACCGCTGCCACACACGCTATACCGTTCACAATTGTATGTGACTGTGTGCACAATTGACTTGCACTCGTTTACAACGGCAGTAAGTAGTACATTCACGCTGAGTACAAGTACAACTTTAGACGAACAAACGTGACAAAAACTAGCATTAACATCGCCTTTATACCCCCAAATATCACCTACCTACCTTGAGGTCAAAGATGAAAATTATGTGACTTAAATTTTGCATGGTAGAGAGAGATTTTTAAAAGGAGCCATGCAACCAGAGATCGGTGCATCGACTAGAATCAAATGCACAGCTCTAGCTAGTGCTGCTGATCTGGCTAGGCACACGTGAAATGCATTGTTGTTGTTCTCGGAGACGCGGACATTCGATCGCTCTGCACAGCTAGCTACACGCATGCATCTATGGCATGCAATGCACACGCTCCATTACTAGTACATATGTATGAAGCTAGCGATGCTGGTTTACACAATATAATACTAGGCCTACTACTCAACACAGCAAACCGGGCAAAGCATGATGAACGCATGGTACATAGTAGTACCTGCACGTTCGTCGCGCGCACACTGGTAATACAAGCGTGCATTAAGGGCGCGCCGACGCGTTATGTTCGAGCGCAAACAAAAAAAATGTAAACAAAAATATTCGCGCATTTTTATTTTCGCGCCATTCTCGTGTTGCGCGAAATGCGCGAAAATTTTCACACCGCGAAATATTCCACGTTTACAGTATTTGATTAATATTTTTCGCAAAATCAAAGGGAAATCGTGACAGCTTTATTTTTGTTAAGTGTCCGGACACCCACACATGGGAGAATGTAGTACAATGTCAATGGTAACTCAACGCAGTGTACAGCGTTATGCACGCGGGTCTTTTTTATTCACAGCCTTTTTAGAAATAGCGTTATCGACTCGGCGCGCGTGTGTATTGCCAATGTAAAGTCGGCAATATTTTAAGCCCTCTATTGGCACAAAAATGTCAACAGGTTTTTGCAAGTCTGCCTCGCAAGTGGTCAATATACTATCTTGTAGATCTAGTTTATTTACCACTTGCTTAGCAGGTGTGCCGGACACCCAACTCCCATCCTACGTTTTTAGATCCAAGGACCAAAGACAAAGTCCAGAGACCAAACCACGTGTGTGAGAACGTTTGGCATTTTCGATCTTGTAGATCATTAAATAGACCTAGTCCTAGACTAGACTCTAGTCTAGTCTAGAGTCTACTAGATTCTACTAGAGTTTTAGACCGATTAAATCTGTCTCTGTTTTGGGGGGCCTAGTATTTACAGTACGGTCATTAATCGGGCGGCCCTCCCCGTTAATGACCGTACTGTAAATACTAGGTCCCCCAAACATAGACCGAAGGCTCCGGCCGTGTGTGTCGCTCTCAGTCATTAACATACGGACATTCTCTTTTTACCCTCTCTCCACTCAGAGGGTAAAAAGAGAATGTCCGTATGTTAATGACTGAGAGCGACACACACGGCCGGAGCCTTCGGTCTACCCCAAACAGAGACAGATTTAATCGGTCTAGCTTACTTTACTAGAGTTTAAGCATAAATTCTCGAGTTCTATCCGACTTAAATCTCATCGTGGTGATCACCAACAAACTCAATTCTTAATACTATAAACACTACATTGAAATTCTTGTTATAATACCTAACGAAAAAGAGACTTTAATTGACAATCGACTTACCCAATCCAATTCAAATCACAGGCAGGCCCAGGCTCAGCTCACGAACGAACTTCGCAGGTATGTACTGCATGCATTATGTACATAGATCAGACTACACTATGAACATGACAGACAATGAAAGCGGACAAAATATACAGTTCCTCAGGTAGACAAAGGGACAGCCCTTCACTGCTATTATGTAAAAATGTGTAGAACAGGTGTCACATGCATATTCACCTGTTCTACACATTTTTACATAATAGCAGTGAAGGGATGTTCCTTTGTTTTCCTGAGGAACTGTATATTTTGTCCGCTTTCATTGTCTGTCATGTTCATAGTGCTAACTAGATAACTTCTATGCTGCACTGTACATGTACGTACGTACACATCATGGTAAACATGCACAATTAATGCATGGCGCGCGCGTGCGAGTGCAAGCAGCTAGCAAGCTATAGCTGGCGCTGGCCCGGCGCGCCCGGCCGGTTCGTTCTGATCTGATCGATCGCCATGCATGCATATATGGGCGCGAACGAAGTGCACGCATGCATGTTACACGCTATCGCTAACGGTAACAAAAAAGTTGGCGGCAAGAAAAAAGAAAAGAAAGAAAAAATAAAATAAAAAAACAGAAATCTGAATAAGATATGAAAGCACTATTAAAACTTCCTGTTAGAAAAAAGAAAAAAAGAATAGAAAAGAAGAAAAAGAAGAAGATTAAGAAGATGCAGAAAAATTACGGTACCGGTATAGTTACAGTTTCAGTTCGTGGGAGTTCGTGTTGTTTTTATGGCATAAAAAAAAAAGATTTCTGAGAGGTCTACATGAACTTTGAAGTATATATATAATTATGCCTAGCCTACTAAAATTTAGGCCTATATAAAGCATAACCTCTGATAAAAGCAGACTAATTTCCGGTAAAAACGAAATCTTCTTTCCCTTTTAAATGTGCCCGAATTCGGCAGCTTGAGTCAATTAACAGAAAGGTTTTGTATTTTTACCGCAAATTATTTTACGTTGTTGAGTTTAAGGCATTAAAAGGCAGTTAAGGTCTTTTTTTTTTTAAATTGAAAAGGGTATTTTGTAGAACATTAAATATCTATAGGGGATCTGAATGTCCTTGAAAAAAACCCTCATCAACTTCTTTTTTAGATTTCTGTCAAATTGCAGTGAAATTCAGCTATTAATTTTACAGAATTGTTTACGGTATTTTCCTCTATAAATTCTGTCTTTTTTATTCATTAAACTAAATGAGATTGCTTTGAATAAATCGACACTTTGTAGAATTAAAAGCAAAATCTGCTTAAAAACATAGGCCTACGAATTTCCATAAAGAAAAAAACAATCCTTTTTTTAGAGAGGGAGAGAGATCCGTCCTTTTCACAGCAGAAAATGTCAAGTAACATTAATTATCAGAGTGGTTCTGTATTATTGTTTCCTGTATTTTTTTTATTCATTAAAACATGAGGTTTACTTTGAATAAAAAGACACTCCATTTATTTACATGGGATCTTCTTTTTAGAGATCTGTTAAATTGCAGAAAGTTTCTAGTTTACATTTTTACAGAATGAATCTGTATTTTAATTTCTGTAGATTCTTTCTTTTTATTCATTAAAACATGAGGTTTACTTTGAAAAAAAAAACGCTCTGTAGAATCATAATAAATCTGCATATTGGATCTGAAAGCATACAGAATTCCTATTAAAAAAAAACATCTCCCTTTCTTATAGAAATCTGTCCTGTTAAATTGCAGAAAATTCCAGTTACATCAATTTACAGAATGGTTCTGTATTTTTGTTTTCTGTAATTTCTTTTTTATTATCCGTTAAAAAATGAAGTTTTCTTAATAAAAAAAGAACATTCCGTAGAATTGTAAAAAATCTGTATATGGGATCTGAAATCACGCAAATTGCCTGTAAAAAAACAAAATCTTCATTTTTTCTAGACATTTGTCCTGTTAAATTACAGAAAATTTGCTGTTACAACACTTTAAAGAATGGTTCTGTATTTTTTTCTCTGTAAAATCTACTGTTTTTTTTAACAGTGTACATGGTCTGGAGTCTGGACTGTAGCTGTTATTGGTTCTGCCGTATAACATGGACTGGAATGTCACGGTAATGTTTACCGCTACCGAGGCCTACCAAGAGCTCCGATGGTCTGTAGCTGTTATTATTTCTGCCACCTTTCTTTCCTGCAGTTACCTTGTTAAAGTTTCCTTCTGTTAGTGGAGTGTGTAAACCCTATCTACCCATCTTCTTGATAAAAGATAGATGGGTTTGAAGTACTGAAACCTTTGCAGCCACTGCCAATGAGTGCTTGCACAGTTTATCATGTCTGTATCTACCACATGCACAAGAATAGAAACATGTTCTTTATGGAGGAAAACATCAACCGCGCTGTTCTTTGAATGATTACTAGCTACTTCGAACTTGGCTGATCCATTGCTTTAGAAAAGCTTTCTCCTGAATAGCGCGAGGGTGTTTTAGCAAGGAAGCTACTTCTGCTTCTAGCAAATTAGCATATTCAGCAGTGTAACCAAAATACTGCTCCAGTTCTTTGGCAATGTCGACACCAATCTCTTTGAATTCTGGTGCATTCCTGTATTTTGGCCACGGTTCTTCTTTACAACAGAAAATATCTTCAATAGATAGCTTGTGCACGTTCTGTAAGTACTGCTTCCTATCTTCCTGATGCCACTGATCATACCACACGTCTGGCGGAATCTGTAGGTTTGATGCAAAATCTGCAAGCTCGTATTCTTGGCTCAGTCCAGTGACTGAAACACACAGCTCTTCTATTTGATGCTGGTGTATGCTTTCAAATATGTGCTGTGTAAATTGCAGCTTATTCATCCTTGACACATGGGGATTTTCCTGTAAGAAGGCATCACACTTGCATTTCATGATTTTTTTCATACTCTCTGATGCATTTGTGTACGACCTTTCCTTGTCTTGCATTCCACCCTTTTTTCTCACTTCTACCATGTGCCCTGCAATCATGCCAAAGTTATTGTTCTTGTTGGAAAGAGTTTAATCGCTTCCTGAGGTCATCTTCGTCTTTGGCATCTAGAATGCCTTCAACTTTCTCTTTAACACCAAAAGTGGCATTAAGGAACATGTTTCTTGTGTATGTGGTATATATATACATGTATACCACATACACATTTTTCAGCTGTTTTCAGCTGTTTTACCAAAATACTGCTCCAATTCTTTTGCGATGTCAACACGAATTCTGGTGCATTCCTGGAATTTGGCCATTATACTTCTTTGCAATGGAAAATATCTTCAATAGTTGGCTTGTGCATGTTCTGTATGTACTGTTTCCTATCTTCCTGATGCCACTCATATTGACGTTTCGACTTGATATTAAAAGTTTTCTGTTGACAATATCTACCCTGTCACTGGTGAAACTCTACAGACATTACTTAATGAAAGCTCTCCAGGAGATAGTGCTGGATGGGGTGATATCCTTGCTGCCTGCCTGGCTTGCCATCTCCTAGTTCGTATACGACTTTCTGGATGAAATCCCACACATTGCTCGCTTGCCGTGGGTAGTCCAGCCACATCACATATATCGCTTTGATGCACAGATCAATGCCTTCCAGGAGGGATTGGCCTGGGATGGCAACACCATTCACTATGACAAACACGTCTTCAGGGCGAAGGGGATCCCCAAGAAGGAGCATGAATGGTTGCTTCTGTTCATTGCTTTCGATGTAGTCAGGGATATTAGTCCCTACCTGCCAATTAAAGAAATAACATATTACCCAGCCCCTATGAACATTATTTCAATAACTTTGATAAAGAAGACATTGTCACATATATCTTTGGAACAGTTGTTGCGCCACAAAGTCACTGCACAACTAAACCACTGGGATCGATACAAAAATTGTTTTTCCCAACCAGTTTGCGAGTACTGGTTAAGAGATTCAAAAGGAAGAATGAATGCTTTCATGATTCAGTAACCCTGTGTCATAGCAGGACTGCTGCGAGTAGAAATGGACACATAATAGACTGCTAGACCAGCTACCCTCTCCCAAAACACTGAAATATTTCAGGCATGAGTGGAGCTCCAGTAGGTGGCATGAAATATAATGTCTATGCGTGGTGTAGTGGAAGTGAGTTTATTATTGGAGTGATTGAGAGCTGTAGTTAGAGCAGGACCTACAGACACATTTGAAATAACATTTACAAACAAAGTTCCTTGATCATTGACCTTTGAATTTTGGTGGATTTGGCCCAAAATCGAATCATTTCGTCCTTGTGTTTGGTGATGAAAATAAAATGTGCCTTTTGCAATAAGCACCATCATGCATATCCTTTATTAGAACATCCTCACTTGGGGTGTATTCAGATGCTATTTTCAATAGGTCTGTGTTTTCAAGCAACACCTTCAGTTGGCTTTCAATTGGAACATACTGATATATTGTTTTTTGAACTTGTTGGACATTGTCAGTTTCTGGATTATTTTGCGGAAAATAGCCAATACCCAAAGGTAACTCCTCAGGTTGCACAAACAGAGCACTATTCTGGAAAAATTTCTTCTGCTTATACTCTGTATTCAGATTTGAAAAAGGATGTGAAACATTCTCTATGTCATGTACCAGGGCTTGGAGGTTTTCCTCTTCAGCATTTATGCCAGTGGCTGCCGCAAAACCCTGTACTCGATGCTTCACATACATGCATACGTCTTCAACAAGTGAAGATGTGTTCTGAACAACTTCTGTGACGGCTGAGTGAGTTACACTGCTTGAACCAAGGGGACCAGAAATAAGCATGGCAGCCGTTCTTGAAGCTCTTCGGCACTAAAATTATCCCACATCTCTGCAGCAGCATCATATTGCAAGTGTTCTCCATCATGTACATGTATGTGGTCACCGTTCCCATCGTCATCATCTGGATCAGCTTGTCCATCAAAAGGTTGTGGCATAAACTGCAATTCATTATTTCTATGGTCACTCTCCAAGTGGCGTCTGAAGACTTGAGTTCTCCCAGAGAAGCTTCTTAGACAACCTTCTTGACCACATTGTATACTCTTTGTAAAAGTACGGCCATTAATAATTCCATGAACATGCTGAAGGTGCCAAAGTAACACCTTTGCATCCCCTTCCACAAGATTCCCACACTTAGGACAAGCATACCCCATCACAATCCTGAAGATATGTATATTACCTGAAGCTCATTGAAGTGCTTCAAAAATCGCATCCTTGGTCCTA